CTGTGTTGAGTATTTCTCACCTCAGGCGACCCACTGTTTCCTGCTACGGACGAGTCGTCTTCACAGCCAAAGAGAGCAGCTCAACTTGTCACAACAATTTTACAAAGTATGTTTTCCTACCTTCTACCTAACCACTGATTACCACTCATTTCACTGTATAACTTGAATTAAGTATAAAAATCAGAAAATGTAAATTTGAGTTCCATCGCAGAGAACATCATGTCTGCTTTTATGTGTGCTGACATACTGTTGTTGTAAATGCAAATTCATTTGAAATGCTTGTTAACAGACAGGCCACTGCAAGGTTGCTGTCTGTACAAACTGATTTTCACACCATAGCAACATGAATGGAAACAAAGTAGAAAGACATTCCAAATCTGACACACTATGACATGCTTTGGAAGATGGCCATACATGAAGTATTTGTGATTTGTAAAAACTGGGATGAAGCAGAACACTATGTTACAGATCCCTGCAGGGAAACTGCCTTCCAGAGAGTTCAGAGGTGGAGGTCATCCACAGACCATCGCCCCTGAAGCCAGCCATGACCTCTGCCGTTCTGCTTCCCCAAAGATACACATTTCACACTTGTTTTGTTTTAATGCGAGCAAGGCTCTCAAAGAACTCACTGCTTCGTGCCACAGCGACAGCGTGGAGCCCTGAATCTGTTTCGTTAGGAGAGGTAGCGGCCAGACGAAGAGGCTGCAGGGTCCTGGCACTGCTGATTACAGGCTAATCAGGGGGCAGGGTGAAGGATGGCCATTGCTAATGTGAAGTATCACTTGCTTTGGGTGATACTTGTCTATTAGAGCAAGAATAGCATCTCATAACGCTGATTAATCTGCTGATGATGGATGAACGGAGAGAAGGCCTACTGCACATGCACAAAACATGAAAAAGTGATAAATGCTTTAGAATATTCTGCTGGAGTGGAGGTGTGTGAAGCTGGGACCCAAAAGTACCCTAGCTGGTTACATTTCTACAAGCATGTCACACCCACTGGCAGGTAGATTGTTACAAGTTATGTAGCATTATGAAGCATTGTTCAAGCCCATAGAATTTCTTTCATTCCCTTCAGGATCCAAAAGTTTCCACTGATACCAAACATGTCAGGTTGAGTTATGTGGAAATGTGTCTAAAACAATAGACAGGGCAGAGAGAATATTTCAATTGGATGTACTGGTGCGGCTATAAACACACAGCAACAGGGCAACAGAATGTTTCACTCAGTGTATATCTTCAATAAGGAATTCAAACAGTGTGGAAAACAACCTCATTTGACTTCATAGCATTAGGGGTAAGGAGAATGGTTATGTGTTTTTATACGTGCACAAACCTTAGAAGACAGGAGACATCTACAGCCGTGGTTACTTTGAAGCTCAAAATTCAGAATGAAATCATTTAGATTTAAGATTTCGGCTCAGTTGTCTAATAGGATGTGATCTAATACGGCATTTATTCAAACAGCAGTGTGACGCACGTAAAAGTTATGAATATGTCATGCATTGAGCACCAACCCATTCAGTAATAACTCTTTAACACGTGTTCTATGTAATTTGTCATAATTTGTTCAACACTTCAGTTTATCCTAATCCTGACCCTAAACCTAATCCAACTGGATGAAAAAGGTGCCAATACCTTAATTCAGCACAACCCTAACCATACTTAACCCTACATCTTTTTGGGTTGTTGTTTTTATGTTTTTATACATTATTAAATGGACATTTTCAGTGTCATTTTCTCCATGTTAAGCTAGGTGTGTGTTATGCAGGGCTGCAGTTTTTCCCCACCCATATTCCGCCCTTAACCTGCCCTTGATTAGCTCTGCCCTGGTATTATTTTCTAACCCTAACCATCTCACTCCTCGTGTCTTAAACCTAATCAACCAAACCAACAAAGGCAACGAATACCAGCCAATAAGAGGCAGAATAGGGCAGGGGAAAAAATTTTGCGTAATACAAGAGTTTAGGGTTAAAAGTTATATCTCAGTTCACCGGGAGGTAGCGGTACGCAATAAAAAGTGGACAAAATCAGAAGTGTCGGTATTCGGTAGCTGTATTAGCTCATTTCAGGTACTGTCAAATATGTTGTTGTATCAGTAACAAACTCTATGCAGAAGTTTAGCTTTGAAGCTTTTATGTCCTCACGCAGACAGACGGCATGCACAGAACACAGTCAGGAAGTAATGGCACAATTTTTCTTTTGATACATTTATGAAAAGGGTTTAAACTACACCTCTGCAACTGGTTTAGGCCTGTTTATTCTGATTGAGGTGTTGATATGCATTGTTGTTATGTTTGGGCTTTTAATCAATTAAAATCAGAAAACTAGGCTCCATGTTAACAGAACTAATGTTATTGTTATTTAGTTTGGAGAAATATAAAATTTTGGGTGCCACTTTCCAGTAACCCTCACATTTTACAGAGGTGTAAAGGGTTTATAAGTTGTAACTAACAGATGCTTTAATGGTTATTAACTCAAATTAATGCTTTGGAGGTCAATTCCCTCTTTGGACACGTAGTAACACAAAGAGGGAAACTTTATACTAAATAAACTATAACTTTTGAAGATATATGCTTTATCATATTAGCTTCATAACAATTTAGAATGCATTTTTACTCCCATCACTTACACAGGAGGCACATTATAGAGGAATCTCCAGTGTGAACAGGAGGAATGATTACAGCAAGCAAAAACTGTTCCAAAGCTCAAACATCCTTTAGTAAAAAACTATTTCAGGGTTGTCAGGTTGTGGCTGCTGTTTATCCTCCACTGAATCACTTGCTTTGTCTTTTTGGCTCTTTACTCCATCGGGACGAGCTCTGCAATGGACTGTTTGACCTCTGACCTGAAAAAGGTTGTCCAATCCTGATGTCCTGATGAGAAGCCCGTTCCAGGACAGCAAATTGTCCTGACCTGACTATTAATGACCCACCGGCAAGAGAGGTTCTCTCACAACCTGCCAACCCAAAAGTTGTTCTTATTGATACATTATAATGCCCTATAAAGCATTTTTATTACCAGCTTATAAAAGCTTTAAAACGGGTGTCAAAAGTGGCATTGATTTTTCGTCTCCGTGCTGGTGTTTTGTGTCAGAGGTGTACAATGAAGTGATCGCAAAAATAAATATCAAAATGGAATTAAATGCAAGAATTTAACAAAAGATGTTGAATGTTTTACTTGTGTCTGTGTTTTTACCATCTGCCTCTATTGTGACAGCAAAAATGAAAGCATCGATTTATTTACTGATCATCCCACATCTCAGCCTGATTATAAACTACATACTAATTGTATACTAAATAAAGTACTACATACAGTACTCATTTTCATAGTGTTCTGCTGTGAAGTACAAGAAGTCAACATATTTTTCTGTTTCATACCAAAAGAAATGAGGGAACAGGATCTTCAGAATGGCACCACCATTCTTCTTTATATTTTGGGGGCTTTTATTTGATAGAACAGGTGAAGACAGACAGGAAGAGAGAGCGAGAGGGGACTACATGCAGCAAAGGGCCACAGGTTTTAATAGAACCTGGTCTGCTGTGGCTACCGGGCGCCACAGGACCCACCAGTTCAGTACTAACGTTTTTACCTGCTGTGAGTAGCCTTTCCATTTCACTTTTGCATTGCATTGTGGGTCAGCAGTGCTCATTAACAATACAGTTCAGTTTTAGTGTACATACTGAACAGAATTAGTACATAGAATGGATTTAGGATACAGCTATTTAAGTGTACAAATAAGTGAGGACCTCGTTTGTGTGTGAACTGTGAGGGTTTTGTGTGTGTGAAGGCACAATATGGCCTCATCACTGAGCTAATAAGTGAGCGAGGAACTGTTGATCTTGCATTTGAAACTCACCACCCAGCGTAAGAAAAACTTTAAGTATTCTGACCAAGCAGAGCGAGCAGCTCAATCCATCTATGTCACCGTTAATCGTCTGCTTTGTGCACACGCTCGCTGGCATGTGAGCAGCCAGCCTACAGACCTGAACGCACAAAGCCAGTCGACACATTCTCTGAGATGTGATTATGCAAACGCAAACACAAGGCGTAAGCATCCATCACAACCTGAATTACCAAGGTTGTGGAGTCAGCTGCATTTCCACAAACACATCCAATTAAAAGATGACTGTCTTCAGATAACTTCTTCCCTTGACAAGTTTATTTCTTGACATCCATCCAACACAAAGAGTGTGTGTGTGATATTTAGATGATAGTTTTTAATGCACAGAATTGATTTCATAATAAATCATATTTAGGACCTAATATAAAGTGCGAGGTAAGAAGAAAATGTTTATTGTTCAGATTGCTGCAACCATCCAGAGAGACAACTCTCTGACATTGCTTATGTTGTGTAGCCTTCTCTGTTTTGTCAGGGGATATGAATAATGCAGGGAGGCTGCAAAAAAAAAAAAAAAAAAGCACTATCAACCATTCCACTATTGTGACAAGAGCACCACGAGATAGGCTGCATTCATTTGGAGCACTTCTTTTTTTTTTTACCAAGGCTGGAAAATGACATTTTTATCAGCCTGTTCGCCTGCTTGACTTTCCTTTTTTCCCCTCTTGAAAATTGAAAACTTGAGGGATAATAAAGCTACAGAGGAATCACATCAGAAGTTTGAACTGTAATTAGTCTGTGATTTCTGTTCTAGAAACGGTGTTTTGACTGATAACTTTATAAGGCGTTGAGGATGCGTGCTGTGTGACCGGAATGAGGAAAAACACAGCCTAAAAAAATTAAGAAAACAGCACATCCCTGTTAGTGTTCATTGCATTAAGGAGTGTGTTTTTCCGGGGGAAAGCAGTGAGCCGTGTGAGCACATGGAGGGACTGACAAAAGAAAATCGTGAAAGCGGAAAGGTTCCCGGGCGAAAATAACACACAAATCCACAAGAAGAAAAACACCTAATTCAGGAGGTCGTGGGCTAAAAAGCTCCTCATTAACCACGGGGGGGATTAAAAAAAAAGGGAGTAAACATCTTTTGGACAATTCTTACCTTTAGCGCCCGTATCCGTCACCACCGCCGCCAGAACAAGCAGGAGAGGGAAATAATCTCTGATCGCATTCATCGCGTTTTGTCCCCCGCTTTGCGCTTCTCGAGCTTTTCCTAGTGAACGTCCTTGGGATCAACACTTTTCCTCTGAGCGCTCCTCTCGTCACTTCAGCCCGGGTTCTCTGTCTGAATGCGCTCGCTGACAAGAGACGAGGTCTTTTTTAGTTTCGGTCCGCCACTACAGACTGTACTGGCTGTGCGTACTGAGTCCACTGAGTGAAGGCTGAAGGCTGGAGACTGTAGAGCTGCTGCCGCCGCTGCCCCGCACCGTGCTCTGTGCTCTGTGCTGGGAGCCTCCTCTTCAGGGCAGCGCCGCCGCCGTGCTTTCAGCACCACGGACAGCTCCTAGCGTTGGCCAATGGAACACACGGAGAGCCAATGAAGCTCAAAGTTTGGGACGTACTAAACTGTAAACTGTAGAATTGCATCATGATTTGCTCTCAAGCACTAGAAGTGTGTTTTCATTGACTCACATCGTTGAATATTCACGATTTTTTTTTTTCATATTTTTTCATGCAGCCATCGATTCCAATCATTTCAGCAGCTATGCTTTGAGTAAAAGAAGTACACCCACATTGTAAAATTACAAGTAAAAGCCCTGCATTTAATACTGCACCTAAGTCGGAGTAACACATCACCTAAACATACTTAAAGATCCTATACAGACATGTATTAAGGGTCCAGTGTGTAACAATTAGGAGGATCTATTGTCAGAAATGGAAAATAATATTCATAGCTATGTTTTCATTAGTGTATAATCACCTGAATATAGGAATTGTTGTGTTTTTGTTACCTTAGAATAAGACATTTTTATCTACAGAACCGGAGACAGACATGTTGAACCACCATGTTTCTACAGTAGCCCACGGACAAACCACACTGACTCTAGATAGGGCCTGTAGTGTTTTTCACAAGTTTTGCGGCCATTGTAGTTTCTCCTTCGCTCTTTGTTTAGTCAAGGGGTTTTCATTGGTGCCACTAAATGCGACACACTGGTCCTTTAATACATATATACAAACAAATCTACTTGGAAAAATAATGTGTGTCTGATATGTTTTTGTCCACAAAAAAGTATCATTCCCACATTAAAATCCTTAAAAAGTAATTTCCTCCTTCTACCTCATGAAAAATGAAGAATCTCTGAATATGCAAATTTCTAAAGTTTTCCTGCTGGACACAAGATGTCTCCTACTTCACTGTAAAGTCCATTCTCAGTGGATGTGCACTGGTGGCTTCAAGTTTCTACATCACACTGTAAAAGTTGCATACTGGACCAGGACTGACTTCCTAACTATTTGTGATGTCACAAACCATGCTGGTAAGCCCCGCCCCTTAAAAATCAGATGTTCAATGAGCTCAGAGAAACTTTCCACTTTCAGCAGATAAATATGAAAACATCATTCAAGAGTCAAACTCTGCACCGACAGCATTCAAAAAGCACACTGTAGAAACAAGGAGAAACACTGATTTTAGACTGGAGGGGAGCTTTAAGTAGTAAAACCGTACTGTAAAAACACAAGCTAAAGTCCTGAATTCAACACTGGACTTTAACAGAAATAAAGAATCATCTAAATATACTTAAGTATAGAAAGTAAAAGCACTCATTATACATAACAGTCCCTTTCAGTTTTATATTATATACACAAAGTGGTCAGTTTATTTGGGACATTTGGTACAGTTTATTAGGTGTTCAAACTAAATCCTCCCTTTATGAAGGTTATATTGTTCAGTTTTCATTGACTCAACTAGATCATTTTGAAGGCTGAAGTTTATACTGTTGAACTGTACTGCGGTACACAAAGAAATGTTTCTATTATTTAGCCTACCTTATTTGATATAAACAAAGTGGAAAAAATAATAGGAACACCTTTCATAACCCAATACCTGCAGCCTCCAGAATGATCATACAGTTCAATCAACACCTCAGTCAGCATATATCAGCCCCCATTCTATTTTTTAATCTGTCTTTTGCAAATCCCCCAACTTATATAAGTGCAATAATAAATCCCTGGAGTCCTTTAACTCTCCCAGAAATTCAAGTATCTTACAAAGCTTAAAAGTGGAAGCTCAGACTCTGAACTAGTCAGTTAACACCAAACTTTCCACCATTTCTTTCCAGCAGCTACAAAATACGAGCTGGTTGGGATTTTCACAAACACATTTCATATTGTGTACATTCTGTGTGTGTGTGTGTGTGTGTGTGTGTGTGTGTGTGTGTGTGTGTGTACAAAAACAGATAATAATAGTATTATAATAATAATAATATAATTAGAGCTCTCAATATGAAGTATTTCAGGTAGAATTGGCAAGAATCTGGCAATATGATACCTATCACAGTACAGGGGTTATCATTCAATATATTGTGATAAATTGCAGTAAGGCAATATATTGAGATTTTAGAGATTAGGAAAACTGTAATAGTATAAAGAACTCATCACCATATGCATAAAATCTGAGTTTACAGCCCTACTATCTAGTGGCTGTGGGTTTGAAACACCAAAATCAATAGTGTTTTTGAGAATAGATACAATATCACAAAACAAAATCTTACGATACGATATTCACTACAAAACACAATGTAAGCCTGGTACAAGAACAGTTTTGTTAAGAATGACTTTTAGAGCCAGAAGGCTAGAATGACCTTAGTGCATGATATTTGAAAGACACAATGCAATGCAATACAGTAGGTGTTTGCTTTTGGCCTGTGGCCCACCATTAAATTTCAGTTTTGGCCCTCCAAATGGAAAATTGTTTGGGCACCCCTGATTTATCCTCAGACTCAGATAAGATAAGGCAACCAAAACTCTGAACTGGACAATACAAAATAAGTGAATTCATTTTTTAACTTACTTTCAGAACCATGGAGTTTACTGAAGACAAAGTCATTTTTTTATGCAGCTAATTTCCCTTTAGTGAGCCTTTTAGAAAAACACATCAGGACTTTGTAGATAAATGTATATACTTCAGATCCTTTTAGATTAGTCCAGTGAAATATCTCACAAAACAAAAAAAAACTAATGGTCTGGAATATAAATAATGAAATTTGTTTCAGGCTGCTAAATAAATGACACACTGCTTGCTCGGACTTAAATATTTAAGAAATACGGAACAAAACAGATACAATCCACTATTATAGCCATGTATCTGCCTGCATCAGAGAGGCTCCACGGGAGGGAGACACTGATGTGATGAGTGTCTGGGTTTAGAGATGTGTTACAGTTTCTAATGTTGGCCAGTGTGTAAAATTGCTGATTGCGATTACACATGGCATGATGCCATAGATATGTGAGTTTAAATGGGCAAAACCTAATGCAAAGAGTCAAATTCTTACCTTAAAACATAAAATTGTCAAACATTAAATGACATGATGACAAGTCCAAAACTGGAGGTATGGCATTTTGTGTTACTGTGTGCGCACATTGAAACTCAGTCAGACAAAGCTAAACACCTCCAACAGCTATTGTCAAATTACAGCTTTGTACCTGTAACCAGGCACAGCAGTATATAGGATAGATAGTACATAGATAGTTTAGGACCAGTGTGTGGGATTTAGTGCCATCTAGTGGTCTAGGTGTAGATTGCAACTCCCTTGCTTCACCCTTCCAAGCATGATGGAGAAAATACAGTAGCTGCAAAATGCACAAAAGATTTAAACACTCTAGAGCCAGTGTTTAGGGCGGCTGTAGTAGAGGTGAAGGCTCTCCATGAAGAGGTAGAGCGGGTCGTCCACTAATCGGAAGGTTGGTGGTTTGAACCCCAGCTCCTCTCGCTGCATGGCGAAGTGTCCTTGAGCAAGATAATGAACCCCAAATTGCTCCTGATGCTGTGCATCGGTGTATGAGTGTGTGTTAATGCTTAGTCTCCGTTCTGGTGAGCAGTTTGCACCTTGCATGGCAGCCACTGCCATCAGTGTATGAATGTGTGTGAATGGGGTGAGTGTGGCATGTAGTGTACAGCGCATTGAGTGGTCCAAAGACTAGAAAGGCGCTATATAAGTACAGTCCATTTACCATTTAACATTTAGTTTGTCCGTTCTGGGCTACTGTAGAAACATGGCCGTTTTTGATAGGTGGCCCCATCCCCCGTGGATAAAATTGGCTCACTATGAGGTAACAGGAACACAACGATTCTTATTTTCATCTGAATATGAAGCGATGTATTTTGAACTTGCTTGCAAAATTATGCCAATAAGGAAGTAAAGAAAACTTGCAGTTCCTCTAACGGCCACTTGAGACTGGCTCCAGCAGTGAGTCAATCTCCATAAGATCCCATATCAAAATGCCCAACTTTACAGCAGAAATAAACATGTTTATAGCCTAGTACAAAGGACAATCATGGTCTCTATAGCTGATTTCCCCTTTCATGAACACTTTAAAGGGGTTGTATTTTTTTAACTCACCTCTTTAAATTATATTAAGGCTTAAAGTTATGCATAATTAAGGGCATGGCCACTTTGAATGACAGGTAGGTGCCGTCACAGGCTGCTGTTTTCAGAAAGCAGGCTTCATTCAGCCCGCCTCAGCTCAACCCACGCTCTTTGCCCATTTTTGGATTAGCTGGGAGCCGACCACACTGAGCTTCACAACATCTCTTTAGAAATCTATGGGTGATGTCACAGAGACTACGACCATTTTTCATTATACAGTCTATGGTGATTACACACCATTAATTGGTAAATAGACTGTACTGTATAGCACCTTTCTAGTCTTCTGACCACTCAAAGCCTTTTCACACACATTCACACAGCAATGGCAAAGCCCATCGAACAGAAACTAACTCATGCATTCACATTCACACACCGATGACATCTGGAGCAATTTGGGGTTCAGTATCTTTCTCAAGGATACTTCGACAAGCAGCAGGGAGAAGCCGGGGATTGGACCAACAACACGCTTTACCTCCTCAGCCACAGCCGCCCATTATGATTATGCATATAATGAAAACATTACATTCATACCTATGAATATTATATTACATACTGCCAATAGATCCTATTAAATGTTACTCACTGGACGTTCAATCAAATGATTATTAGACATGATGAATGTCTCAGTGAGTGATCTGATGATTAATAACCTATAAACTGCCTCTAAGGATTGCCATTACAATGAGGTAATTACGCAAACGATACACACACTGCGTTTTATCTCTAACATTGCATATTTATTATGTGTTGGCTTGAATTCTTGTGAAAGGAAAAAACATTAAAAGACAGCACAATGGAAATGAAGTGTTTAAATCAGTCTTTTACAGAGTTTAGCCATACAGTGACCTGCTCATTAACATGTTCGCTTTCTGGAAATAGCTAAATCTGCATTAAGGAGAAGAAACACTAATGAACTGTACATGAGTATACAGACAG